AGAAAGTGTACGTTGGTGTGTGTCAGAAACAGCGTAAGGCTTAATGTCTTTTCCAAAAAAACCAGGTGATGGGCCGGTCTCCAATCAAAATGCCCGGGCTGAATTTTTGTCCCAGTCCAGCCCTGGGTGAGAGGAAGGTTATAAATAGTGAAATGTTAAGGTTTAGGTGTGGTTAAATGAGCTGGTTCTGTGCTGCATTTAAGGTTTAGGTGTGGTTAAATGAGCTGGTTCTGTGCCGCATTTAAGGTTTAGGTGCGGTTAAACGAGCTGGTTCGGTGCCGCATCAGCGGATATCTAATCACGTCAGTTTTACGCTGCATAGGGATCTGCAGTTACAAAAGGGAAAAACCCCTTTTCGCAAATAAGTAACGGAAAAGGGCACTTTTGGCATCTGGGGTCTGACGTGGAGGGTGGCTGATCAAGCGTTTGTTTCCGACCATCAACATTAGTATATGGACAATGGGTTTCCATAGACTCCAATAACAAGTTTTTGTGCTAAAATGGGAGGTGGCCACAACCACCATTTTGACTGTGTCACAGGTTCCGTCAAGCCCAGACAATTCCATAAAAGGGAAGAGAGGAGGAGCTGAGGGTGGGGCTGTAAGGCTGGGATCAACTGACGACACCTGGTCGAACTAGCTACAAGCTAACCTGAAGCTAACCCAAAGCTAATGCGGAGGTGGGAGCTAAGCTAACGGAGGTAGCAACCTAGCTACAACCGGAGTTAACTGTGCACAACACCAGAGCTTCTGAGTCAGAGATACGCCGGGCTGACCTCTGGGTAAAACCGGGTGGAACACAGAGGTCTCCGAGACCTCCACAAGCCGGCGGCCGCACAGCAGACAAGCGCCGCTGCGCAGAGCTGCCGTTGGGGAGAACCGGGTGGATAGGTTTTCATCCCAGAGCTCCACAAGCCACCAGCCCGCCGCAGCACACAGAAGCCACGATCAGACAGATGCGCCGAGCTGCGGGGAGAAGTGGCGTATTTTGGCGGTTCTGGCTTGCCATAAGAACCAGCCGTCAGCCCGCCGCAGCACACAGAAGCCGCGATCAGACAGAGATGCGCCGAGCTGCTGGGAGAACCAGCCGTCAGCCCGCGCAGCTAACAGAAGTCGCGATCAGACGGATGCACCGAGCTGCTGGGAGAACCAGCCGTCAGCCCGCGCAGCAGACAGAAGTCGCGATCAGACAGAGATGGACCGAGCTGCGGGGAGAAACAGCCGGCATTCCAGGTGGAAAACATCGGTCTCCCGAGAGCTCCACAAGCCGATAGTCGGAACCCAGCTCCACCAACATGTTATATTTCAACCCATTTTCTAAAGTGCAGCATTATGTTAAATGCACTGGGTTTTACCCTATTACATTTAAATTTCATGGTTAAACAGTACATGTTAAAATCTAAGCTCAGCTCGGCAGTGACCTAAAATACATAAATATAATTTTACTTACCAAAAAAATGAAGTGGAGACTCCTTGGACGCTCTATTAGTGCAATTAATGCCACAGCAAGTCATTTTGTCCAACAATTGCACAAATAATATCCAAAAAAGAATACACACACACAGAGACTCAAAATCCCGGAGCAGTTTCCAAGCCAGGCCGAGGCTCTACTGAGGCCTTTCCACGGAGCTAGCTCTGTGGTCACGTGGGTCTGATGCTCATTAATTATACAGAATTTTAGGCTTTTAATACACTTAAACAGAAGAGTGAGAAAAAAATTCACCCCCCTCAGAGTTGTCATGAGTGTAAACTAGATCATTTAAACAAAAAGCATGTTTTGGTACCAGGCTGTAAACATGTTTATTTCTGCTATGAAATTGGCATTTTTAACATGGGAGTCAATGAGGATTTGCTCGCTTCTGATACCAGCCCCCAGCGGATGAGGGTGGAACCGCAATTTTTGGTACTTCCGGGTTGGGACCAATTTTAGAGCCGTATTGTGGGGGCTTGTTTCCGACGCATAGGGTGTGAGAATGTGTTGATTTCCTGCATGTTTTAGATCAGAACACAGCTGATTTATTTTAGTGATGAATTGCTCCAGTGGACACTAATAAATACTGGGGAGCCATTTCAGCTGTTAGCTTAAAGTGTTAAAAAGACAAAAATACAGTGAGGAGATAAGTTTCATTTTTGGTTCAACAAAACAGACACTAGGGAGTGCTAAAAGCAAGCAAAACTGCCAAGTGTACCTTTAAACAGTCACTTTCTGTAGCAGTGAGCTGTGCTACAATTAGCTTTTAGAACATTAGCTTTTAAAAATCAAATAAAAGTTTGGTTTCTGGTGTTATTTATTTATTTGTTACGTACCTTATGGATTTGTAATTCGTGTGGGAAGAATTTCCCTTCTAGCTCGCCTACTCCACCCAAAACATCTCCGCCATATCCCGGATGGATATCGAATGCCTGTTTCCCTTCCTGTTTGGCCTGCCTCCATCACCAAGCAACCGACATACAACTTCCAGGTGGAACGTCACTGCCTCTGTCTTCTACGCACCTGCCTTATTTGTGCAATTAGTGTTTCTCCCAGAAAAGGGACGCTGCGTCAGCCATTTGGGGAGAGCTGTTTGATCAGTAACAGTCTCTCCTCGCTGGGTTTCTTGGTGTACATTTTCATAATTGGTAATGTCAGCTAAGCTTTGAAAAGCTACTGTTAGCATTTTGGTTGTAGCTTCTTTTGTTGCAGTTTTAGCGTGTTGGTTATTAGTTACCCCTTGTGTTGAGTGATTATCTCAAAAAACAGAGTTGTTATGGGTGTTTCTTTTTTTTTTTTTTTGTTTAACAAGGCTTGGTTACACCCTTCTTAGTTAGTTTGACCTCAGACCATTTCAGTTAACTATTGATGCTAGTCGTTTGCCACCTTTGTCCAGTTTTGGCGGGATGCCTTTAGTTATTGCATTTTTGCTTTTTGTTATATTCCCCAAAGGCTGTGTTAGTTGTGTTTGTTAGTTTACCCAGCCTTTGGGAAAACGTTCTTTTGTTGTGAATTATTTGGTTGATTTTAACCTGAAAAGAAACCTGATCTTTACTTAAACTTTTAAAATTGTGATATTGTCCCTTCCCTCACACGCCAGCCTAAGGACCCCAGGAAGGTTCGTAACATATTTAATTTAAATTTCCTTCAGTAACAGTGCTAAAGTTAGCAGTGTGAGAAAAAAAGTTATTTCTTCTGATTCTGTAAAGTTACAGTTGTAAATTAGCTCTAAAATGCAACTCTGACTGCTCCCATGTCAATGATCTTTTCTATTAAAAAACAGAAACCTATTGATCACACACAAACTGGTTTCCAGAATAGCAGGCTATAAACTTCCAATGTCAGAAAACATTATTCTGGTTCATGCAAATGCTGTTCTATACATCTTTACATCATCATCAGTTTCAAAGTACACCTTTTAACTGAAATGTATAGCCCAAACATCGAATGTCTCTGATGTAGCCTGAGGCACCTCAAGGATATTTCTTTCAAATTAGGCATGCAATACGAAATGAGCAGCAGTGTAAAAAGTTTATCAAATAATGTTCACGTTTGCTGCTGTAAGATGTTTAAAATGTGAACTGTTTTAAAACTACAAAAATCCACTCTCTGGTGCCACTTAAACCAGATGTTTATGTCATATTTATGGGAAGATGTTTTACCCAAGACATGAAAGAATCACACTACGGACACAGGGTAAGTAAAAATAATATAATAATTTTTATTAAGAATGGTGAGTAAACTAAGGGTGCTGCTCCAAACAGGAAGAACCAGAATCTAAAACGAGAAGCAGATAGATATAAGATAAACCCAGAACCAGAGAACCAAGAATATGATTTGTTTTTGGAGGTTATTCTTACGGTTGATGACTAGGACTGGTGAGGATGGACTGAGTTTTTGGGACCAGGTGGGAACGGACGAAAGCAAGGAGTTCAGATCCAGGACAAGACTGGGAAGCAGGTTGGGAGGCAGACTGTGAGGCGGGCTGAGAGGCAGGATCGAAGGCTGGCAGTGAGGCAGGCTGAATGACAGGCGGACGGTGGAGAGCAGAGGCCAGGGGGATCTTGAGCGACGTGACGTTGGGAGACGACTCCAGGTGACGGTAGGTTCTGAGGACAGACGGGCAGGAATTTTCAGGACTAGACAACAGGCAGATCAAGACTGAGACTGGAAAAGGCAGACAAAAGAGTTAAGCTGGAGCAGGCAGACTAAGACTATGGCTGGTTAGTAGTTACCCGAGGTGAGAGTATCAACCGGCACTGGAGTTGTGTCACACCGCTCCTTAAATACTCCTGGCCCTCTGCTCAGGGAGCTCAGGCACAGCTGGCTCTCCAACACGCCCACCTGTGAACACAAACCTGGGACAACTGCAGCGTATTGATTGTTATTAGGAATGATCAGGGCAGACCGTGACAGTTTATCTGGTAGGTATTAAACTACAATATAAAGAGAAATGCACATAACATCACTGATGACTTATTATAAATGGAATATACCTACACTTGATTGTATCTGGTTTTTGAAAAACGTCCCACTTTCATTTAGTGAAGAGTAGGGGAATGAGGACCAGAGGTTGAAGCTAGTTTGTTCCAATTTATGATGAAGAACCAAAATCAGAAATCAAAACCTAATTCTAGGGTTTAGAAGTACTCATTTTTCTATCTAACATTTTTAGAAATGTATTAAAATTAGTATTAGTATTAAAATTAAATAAAAATAATTTTAATTGCTATGTTGCCAAACGTATTTAAGTATTTTCTGCACCAATCTTTACAAAAGGTGAAAGACAGCAAACAGTGAAGTCCTGGTTAAACTTTGATGGTAAAGATTTCTCAGTGACAGGCTGTTTTAACAAGTTTGAGGTATTCTTTTCAAGAGGTCAGATAAGTACGATTTAGTTCACATTAAAATGTAAAGTTAGTTTAGCTGATTTGTTCTAGGTTTATCCAACATTTAGCATGTTTGCAGGAAAAGCTATCATGACTTTGTCACTATTTATTTACTTTAACAAATAAAGGCAGCCAACGCCGTTTGTACAGGGTCACACACATTTATTCATTTTTGAATTACAAGTTTTTATATTTCCTAAAGTCTGACTTTAAGACACATTAATATCACCACTGATGTTGCTCATTAGGGTTTGACATTAGACCTTTATGTTCATAAATACAGTTTGCATCATTCATGGGGAAAAAAGGGAGGCCTGGAAAAAAAAGGAGTGCAGCTTTCATGCGCTGGTCTTCCATCGAATGGTAAAAGGACAATTCACAGGAATAGACTTGGATGAAGCATCGACAATCAGCTCCTGTGGAAAAGACAAGAAAAGATAAAAATGGATGAGCTATGGGTATGAAAAAAATAACACAGAAAAAGATCTTCTCTTAGTATTCTTGAGCTGATCAGGGTTGTGCAGACATAATATCAGGTGACAAATGCTCTTTTATTTTGCGAGTTATTTCAATGACAGGTTAAACCCAATCAAAGTGACACATGAACTTTTCTTTCCTATCATCCTGCCCTGATTACAGTAAATCTTTTGAATTACTGTTCTGCAAACTTGTGTGACTTTATCCATCTTGTTCTGCGATTATCCATCTTGTTCTGCGCCAAACAGAGAGAAGAACCTCTCATACCTAACTGTATTCAAATGACACAGTAATTTTTCTAACTGAAATACAAGTTATTACCAATTCAGGCCATTCTCAAGGAGAAAAGTGGATTGTTTCACACTAAAAATCCATTTATTACTATGAACGCAATGTGTCATCTTCAACCCTGTGTTTGTTTCTCTCTGCTGCTGTTCCTTCTAAATTCATGTCTTTCATTCTTACTGTTTATTATTTTAGCTTATTTTTTCTCTCTTTGTATTTTCTTTTTGCTTGCAATGCATCCTCCTTACATTGGCTTTCTCTTAGTCCTAATGGAATTCATTATAGTCTTTATTCTGATCTCACATTTGCATTTCCAACACACACACAAACATTCTCATCTTGCATTCATTGTAAGGACTCATTGACTTCTATTCATGTTAATGTCTGAATTGTGCATAACTGGAGGTCGACCGATATTGTTTTTTCTATTGGCTGATACATTGCCTATGTGTAGGAGACACGATCATTTCATTTTCATTTCATTTATTTGTTTATAAACCATAATGCTACCAGTCAAGGCTGACCCAAGTGCAGCTGATAAAATCATAGATCATATACATTAAAATTAGAGACAAAAATAAGACCATACTAAAAATAGATGTCATAAGACATAAAAATAACACTAAAAACAAAATCAAAATGCACATAATGCCTAAAAACAATAAAAATAAATAAAAACATCCCAAGAATATTACCAGAAAAATAACAATAAAACCAAAAGAGTACAAAATTAACTAGATTTGTAATATTGCTTCACTTAAGCTTAAAAACTCCAGACAGTAGATGAGTGTTTAATATCTAGTGGGAGTTTGTTCCACAATCTTGGGGCAGTATTGCAAAGGCTTGCTCCCCTCGAGAGCTGCAGTTAAACCTAGGCTCGACCAATAAATCCTTCTCTGCAGAGCAGGAGCAATATCAGTTGAAGGCCGATATGTCCTGCCAATTTTCTTGGGCCATTGTTCATGTTCAATATCTAGACGTTTTCCACATTATTTGCATGCCAAAATGTCACTAATAACATCAGTTGTTGCACAAAATTTCAGAAGGTGAATCTGTTTTTGAACTCTGAATTTAACTGTTAAATATTTGCTCAAACAAATCAATAAACTGACCAAGTATTAAATATTCAAAACTGGTAAATAAAAAAACATTTTAGTTGAAAATAATTTTGAGCATTTATTATGTAAATATGTATTTTAATTAAATTCTGCAACAGCACCTGTCTGCCTGGGGATGTTCCTGACATTAAATCGGCTTCCTAAGACGTTATAATGGTCGATGCTGATAAATTAAAATAGGTAAATACTGGCTCTATGCATAGGGTCTACCCCTATGCATAGAGCCAGTATTAATCTATTCCTAACCCAAACCTTAGAGCTGCTATAGCAAATTTGGAAAATAACTTGGCCTAAAACAATTTTTTTATTCCTCCTAACAACACTCTAACATAGAATTGCTATGAATATATGGTAGAGATTAAAAGAGAAATGGATAAAGTGGTTATCTTGCATTTGTTCATAAACATCCACCAAATGCAACCATTGGACCAACTGGTTAGCTGTCTCAATGAACAGTGACACCTCCACACTTCCTTGGGTCATCCATTCATTACACACTCACGTATTTAGCAACAAAATACCACTGGTGTGAGAGGTTCTCCACTCAATATCAGACAAGGAGAAACAGCCGGCTGCTACCACTTCAGCTTTTGGACAAACTACCAGAGTCTCAAAAAGAAAAACACCATTTGAAGTCACAGACAACAAAAGATGTTTGAACATAGAAAATGGCGACTGGTGTTTAGCGCTCTCTCGTGTCCTTGGGTAATGTTGGTTTCCAGTTCCAGCTGAAGCGTATTGAGGAAGATGCCCGAGGAGATGGGAGGCAACAGTGTTTGTATTCCAAACCTAGCTTGTTCTGTCTTTTTTTTACACAGGTTAGAAATAAAAAAATGTTTTTTACCTGACATGTACTAAACTGTGTAAAAAAAAAGAACAAGGTAATGGATTACAATGTAAAACCCAAAACAAATGCACAAAATAGTTGCTCTGTAGATTCTCTATGGCAGCTTTAAATAAAAATTAATTCACATCATACCTCTAAAACTAACGAGTATAGCTCTGTAACATTGTACCAAGGACCAGGCAAAATGTCTTCACTTTACAGGTGAAAAGTCGTCGGTCTGCAGTATGATGTGTAAACAAGTATACACACACACACACAGACACACACACACACACACACACACACACACACACACACTCACAAAATTCATTGCATCTTTCTCCATCTTCTCCAACATGTGTATAAATTGAAAGCTTTGTGGTCCATTCACCTTTGATTATTTATGGAGTTGTACTAGTTATCATTTTCACACTACTGAGATTTGGGCAGCATGCAACCTGAAAGATTTATTCTTTTTTTTTCTTTCCGGAGGCCAAAATGGTGAGAAAGTACCAGGTCTATGTGTTGTCATCTTTCCTCATTTCTTTCACACGATGTTCAGCCTAATCGCCGTACTACAAAGTGTCTTCACACATATTTATCTTCTTGGAAACCATTTTCAGATTCAGCATATTTGTTTTAGTATTGGTGTGTGTCTGAGTCCTTGTCACAGCTGGCTCTGAGCAAAAGTTCAGCTTTACTCTGGTTTTATTTTGACTGCTCTTGATTCTTTTTTGGGAAAACCATCAGAGCAAAAGACATTTTATACATGCAGCTTTAAATTCTCTATCTCAAGTCAAGTCCTCCTTTCTCTGTTTATTACAAAATGAAGACAAAACGAGTGTGTCATGGGAAAGACAGCATTGATTACAGCTGTCAGAAAAGTGCTGCCCAGCAGGAGGTGGGATGTGAACCTGATATTTTGAGTACTTTCAGCCCAAGAATACTCATTTAACTCAAAAACTAAATATGCCAAGCCAAGGGAAAGCATAGTTACCAAATATACACAAAAAGATTACAGGCTGTAGACAGTGACTGATCTGTTTCTGTTGGGGTTATTGGAGCAGGATTTCAGCTGAGCTCACATGGAGATGAACTTATACACTTGTGTAAATGTCAGAGAAATATTATCAGCAAGTTCAATAACATTTTATTTTATAGCAGGTGTCATTATGCTGTTTATATTTAGAAATGTTGGTGAAAAAGGCCAGGCAATAATACAATATTTTCAAATAGATTATAAAAATGAATATAAACATATTCTGCAGAAGAAAAACATACACTCACAAAATACATCATACATTAAAATGGGTGAAATTCATGTTGGTTTTCTTTAGTTTAATTTTAGTAGTTTATTTTCCTCTAAAGAAAAACATTCAAATATATGTGGAAAAGAAAACCCATTCAGTCACGGAAAAGTGACATGGTATTAGGGATATGGTTTATGTCGATCATAATCTTCATATGAGTTTGTTTGATTGAATTTATTTCTGGTATTTCTGCATTTTGATGTTAATGTTTAAGTTCACTGAACCTATAGATTTTTAGGGAAGTTTTTTTTTTTCTTTTATTTCCCTGTGTCACCATTTTCCCTTCAGTAGCAGTCACTTAGTACCTTACACACCAGTCCTTCATCAGTAATCACCATGCCAACAGGTAAATAGTCCCTATGGACATATCCACCTCTTTTGTTTAATCCTGTGTTGGATTTCTTGCTGCCACAGTTGGTTAATGTGGTTTTGGAAAATTTTGTTTCTGTCCATTAAAAGTTGGGTCTCTAAGAAATGAAACAAAACCTGAGAAAAAGGGTGGTTACTTTTATTTATTTAAAGTTAAAGTCCCATTAGTCATCATCACACACTGATGAATTACATCTCCTTATTTGACCCATCGCTGTGAGGAGCGGTGAGCTGCAGCACTGGCTGTGCTCTGGAACAATTTGGTGGTTTAAACCCCCAAACCAACCTCTTAATGGCACACTTAGCAGTTTTGCTTGCTTTTAGCACCCTCAACTGCCTGTTACTAATTCTCTATGGCCAAGTTAAAACCAAAACCTTTCTACTCGCTGTGTGCTTGTCTTTCAGCACCTTAATCTAACATCTGAAATGTCTCCCCAGCCTTCCTAAGTGTGTACAGGACTGATTCGTCATTAAATTAAACAAATCAGCTGTGTTTGTGATCTAAAACCTGCAGGAAACGTGCTGAAAGCAGACTACAGTGCCAGGTAGGTCAGCTCAATTTTCCCAACAGAGTGGGCCTGCAAGTCTGAAGCTGCAAGTGGAATATTCTGGCCACAGGGAGCGATAGGGCTGGATGGCCTTTCATTAACCCTGTAAAGCAGGGGTATTCATGTCCGGGCCTTAGTATCCTTCACATTTTAGTTTAACCCTGTTTTAACACACCTGATTTCAATCAGCAGGTGATCAACAGGCTTCTGCAGAGCCTGACGAGCTGCTGCATAGATGATTTAATCACTGAATCAAGTGTGTTGGAGCAGAACAACAACTAAAACATGCTGGATAGTGGCCCTTAAGGAGTGCTATAAATGGCCATTGCTTAAGAAAATGATTTAAATATATGAAAAAGTACGGCTTTAAAGCTGAGGGTCAAGCAGGAAAGCATTGAGTCCCATTTTTAAAGTCTGGTATAACCCAACATTGGATTTGAACCCCAATCTCCCAGGGCAGACACTCATTCCACTAGGTCAATCACATATTTATTTATTTAATTTTTACAACAAAAAAAGCTCTATGAGACCTTTCATTAAAGTCATCCACCATAGATGGAAACAGCATGATTTATGTAAAACAGGATAATTAGAGAGGAGTTTGTTGCCAAATCGGGAAAATGAGTAAAAGTAATCTTTTATTTATTTATTTTTTATTAACAAAAACTGTAGTGTGTATATGAATCCCTTTTTTCCTAAAGTATCTGTGTAATTTTGACTCATTTGCAAGAAACTAAGATATATATATTTTTTCCCATTTAAAAACTGTAAGGCACATTTTTCATTTAGTCATGCTTTGCAAGCACAGAAACTATTCTTTATTATTCTTCACATTCTGATAATGTTTGATCATTTATATCAAACTTTGTAAGCCTTTACCACTCAGCTGTCAAAAAGTATAGATACGCCCAACAAGATGAAAGCAGATATGGAGACGTGATCAAAGATCTGCTGACCTCAGTGTCGATGTTGTGCTGCGGCAGGAGAAGATGATGCGTTCCACTCGAGTCTGTTAACTTGACCTCTGTGATCCTGACTTTGCCTGCACCCCAGACCTTCATCACTCCCAAATTCAACTGATCAGCTGGTGCCAGACCATTGTGATCAACTGTACTGGTCAAGGTGTTCTGAAAGATGAATTGTTGGCGGGATGGGATGGAGGGACACACACACACACACACACACACACACACACACACACACACACACACACACACACACACACACACACACACACACACACACACACACACACAAGTTTTTAGGTTGTTACAAAGAACGGATATGACATAATTTGCTCTAGTTCTTTATCAATGATACTTTTGTAGCTGGACTCACATCAATCTTGAATTCTGTGTTGAACATGTGCCCAAGTGAAATTAGCCATTAAGTTCTATTGATATTCAGCTACAACCCAAGCTTCATCATGAGACTTACCATTTAAAATCACTGTGTGATTAGTTTTATATGCAGCACCTGAGTTTTATTAAATTTCATAATTTTCCTGAAGCTTTAAGCCTTTAATATTCAGCTGTGAGATAGTCCCTTTGAACACATAGATCCCAGTTTATTAGTAAATTAAAGTATGTTACTGGCAGTCAGTCACTTAAACACTTTAAGTAAAACATTACTCACTTAAAATATAAAAAAAAACATGTCGTGTGTCCCCCCCCCCCCCCCCACCACATAACATAACAAGCATTCCATAACTGACCTAAAACTGGTTATCTACATCCTGAATTAAATGCTAACAACAGATATCTCCACTTTGGTCAGAGTTTTTGAAATAATTGTTTTGGTGCAGTATATCTTCATTTTCACATGGATGACCGGGCATACCATTGAAACAAAAACGTAATTTTGTGGGTTACCCTGCCACATGTGTTCATGGCCTCAACCATGGTCCTTGAGGGCCACTGTCATGGATACCTGATGATGACATGATTAACAGATTTCTGCTGGGCTTATCGACCCTTTGGACAGATGATTCAACCATTGAATCACGTATGTTGGAGCAGAGAAACAGCTAAGAAAGGCTGTACGGTGGCCCTTTAGGACTAGGATTGGGCACCCCTGCTCTAAACTGTCCCTAGGTGTGAGTGCATGTGTTGTTTGTCTCACTGTGGCCCTGTGATGGACTAGAGACTAGTCCACTGTGAGTGAGTGAGTTTAGTGGCACAGAAGATAATTTCCTTTATTTGACCTTTTAGCACTTTGGCACATCTATTGTTATAGGACATGCCAGTAAGTTTAAATGGAGGAAACTGAACAATTTATTTATTGAAGATATTTTGCTTCTCAGGCCAAGAGCTTTCTCAATTCAAATTGAAATGTGCAGAGTTGAAAGCTTTTTGTTATTTAAAAAGGAAAACCAGTTGCCTTCCTTTGAACTTACTAGGATTATCATGCTCTGGATGGCTGAGAACCTTCACCAACACATTTTACAGACACTAAATCTAATCCAGGACCATGTCCAAGCAAAGCCATGTTGAATCTCTCTGTGTGTGTCTGTGTGTGTGTTTTCCTCCCCTGAGAAAGGAGTTACTTGTAAACAGGAAGCTTCAAACTGAAAAGAATGTTGTTTTTTTAAGTGGAATTGAAACAGAAATCATTGGAATAACACGTTGGATGCTTTTACCATCTTTTACTGAAAGGAGAAGAATGAACTTGTTTTTACCCTTTAAACTCAATTTTAGCTAGGCAAACAAAAACTAATGACATTTGTGTTTGGTCGACTCTTTGTTGCAACAATGCTTATTGGCTATCCATCTTACACTCTTGACAAATGTGGTTAGTCATCTTTAACATGAGCTACTGCTTCTAATGATTACATATCTGTGGAATGGGTAATACAGCTAATTGTGAGTTGTGTCCTCCATAACTCTGCCAAAACCCCTGCATGCACCTGCATGATTAGCCGTGTTGCACTTTCCATGAATGCACAAAGTTATACCCCATAGAAAAAGTAACTAATCGGGAAATGCATTGTGCCATTTAGGATTTCTTTCCAAGAAGCACTGTTACAGCAAAAAAGTCATCAAGCAAACCAAAATGTCCAAGGTCCAAGCCTCAACAACACAGGCAGTTGCTGCTAAACTACATAGCCCGTTCTTCATGCACCCAGTGGAAGTGGGCTTTAGACTCAAAATGAGCCCAGATTTAGTCTCCCTGGCTTGGTCATGTAACGTGTAAATTTGCATAACTGAACCTTAGTTGCTTCAAGTCAAACCCCCCTAATCCATTTATGTAATTTTGCAGTGTACTTTTATTCACTACCCTCATTTTAGAATTGATGCAGTTGAAATTCAAAAATAATAAAAACTTTTTTTTATAAGTACGTAATTGCCATTTTGTGCTAAAATATCTGGCAGAAATATGCCTTCATCATATGGGACTAAAGCACAGCTGCTTTTATCGACGTGAGGGTGTGTGGACCAACAAAAACCATACATACTTTTACTCTGATACCATTGCTAATTCATCAGGGCTTCAAATTTGACCCCCCCCCCCCCCCCCAAAAAAAAAAACAACAACATTTAGCCTATTGTTTTTCATAATTAAACTCATCAATACCTAATATTTAGCTATTCTCCTTTCTCTGTACAGGGAACATGTTATGACTTAATTAGTTCCATGGTTTATACAAACATGTTGATGAATGTATTACTACCAAATCTCTCACACAAATACATTTCAACAGTTTTATTCTTGACATTTTCAATACCATCCAGAATGAGCCGTTTCAGGGCTCTGCCTCTTTAAGAAATCAAGCAGCTGCCCTCTCTTGCCTGTGAGATGTAGTTTTATGCTAATTTAACATTTATGACATCACAAACAGGGACTTTTTGAAACGGCTTGTTTTAGGCATACAGTTCCTAAACCGACAGAAACTGGACGGGCAGATTTTTTATTTTATTTTTTTTTTACATTTTGAGTGTTCATTGAGGTACTTGAGACCCACATGGCAGCACAAAGGGATGCAGAAGGGTACACTTTCAGAATAAGAATCAACTTTATTGTCGATGCCTCAGTGTCCTGACACATAGAAATGTGAGTTTTGCATAATCCCCTTCAAAACTCAAACAATTCTGTATTTCTGTCAATGCTACTTCTGGAAGGTTGCAGGTTTAAGCCCCCTTTGTCACAGTTGTTATGTCCTTGGGCAAGACACTTTACACACCTTGCCTGCTAGTGCTGGTTGGTGGTGCAGGTGTTCAGCTGCCTGGCTTCTGTCAGTGCACCCCAGGGCAGCTGTGGCCATAATGTAGCTCACCCCCTCCAGTGTGTGAATGGGTGAATGACTGGTTGTGTTGTGAAGTGCCTTGGGGGTTGCAGACCCATAAAAGGCACTATATGAAATACAGGCAATTTACCATTTCACCGTTAAACATTAAATTAGGTGGTATTTAAGGGTCTGGATTGGACACCAATAATCAAGACTTTTGTCTTTTGTTGCAAACCATGATATCCATTCAAACATTAAATTAAATGAGAAACCTTGTTTTTTAATGTCAATCTATGTTAAACCTATAAGAATAACAACAACAGGAACATGTAGGTAATGCTTCAACTTACTGATTCTACTTGAAAGGAAACACGGAGATGCTGGTTTCTCCCCACCGTGTCTGATAAGGGGAAAAAGTTAATTACACACAGGTGAAATAATAATATGAGGAGGAAAAATAAGCAACATGGTTTCTGAAAAAAAAAATGTAAATTAGATTTAGAGCCCATTTAAGTGAGAAAATTACAGAATTGTAGCAATAAACAAATAGCTAAAGGTGATGCTACTTCTGTGTCTGAATAACAGTAATTAACAGTCTGCCAGAGTTAGTAAACACACAAGTGACTGAATGAGTGAGTAACACACAGATCAAAACAGCCTGACTGGCAGCTGAGTGAATAGCTCACCCTGTGAACTGAAACTTAAAACATTCAGGGTTTAAAAACAAAGATGGATAAAACAGGTAAGCAAGCCCTAAACCATGTGGCAGGAGAAACAAAAAAGACATAGGCAGGCAACATGGCAGATAGACACCTGAGAGAGGAGCAAGGGAGAAGATAAAACAGGAGTGATGGAGAGCATATCTCCAGGCAGCGACACAAGGAATTACTGTAATAGTTTCTGTCACTCCTCCTCTCTGCATTTCTCCATCGCTCTTCATCTCCCTCTCTGTTTTGTCCCAATACAAACACGCTTTCATGAGGAGTGCATCTTTTTCTCACAAGCACTTGAGAGACTGTGTGCATGTGTGTGTGTGTGTGTGTTTGTCTAAGGATGAGTGAGAAAGCAAAAGAAAGTTTAACTGTGTGCATCAGGGGTCTCTTTTATAAAACATTGCGTAGAATCCTTTCTGAAACCGTACTTAAGCTCAGCAAAAAAAAAGTACTTACGCCAAGTAGGTTTGTGATCTATCACACGGAGTATGCACAGCTGCACGCAATCTCAGCTTCATAAATCAGAGACTAACGTGATAGGTTCTCAGCTGCTTTTTAGTCACACCCCGCCCTCAACACGCCCCCTTTCTGCCATAAATAGTCAATGCAAAGTGCCTTGTGGACCTCATGCATATACATAAGCTGGCTTGTTGCAGCATTTCGATCCCGACCGCAGATCAAGGAAGCACTACTTCACAAGCAGAAATTCAGGTACTTGTGGGTGAGGCGGAAAAATGAAAGGAAGTGCTTTTGCAAAACAAATGAGAAAATCCACGGAGTGGCACAACGTTGGTGAAGCCGCCAATGCTGAGTTCTTCAAAGAGATCTGTGGTGGATATAAAAAAATGGTCCAATCAGGATTCAATCCCCAGACGCTCAGGTGAAAGTCATGCATGCTAACCAGTCAGCCAAATGGAGATCTCCCTTGTCCAAGTAGCCAGGGCGTATGATCAATCGGGTCACAGTGACAGGACACACACTGTCACAGACGCATGACATTCTGTCTCAATCTGCCCCCCTGCTGAAATTCAGCATTCCATATTGTGCGCTTCAGGGTGTGTGTGTGCGCAAGTGCGCAAGTGGGGGGTGGCTTGCTCTGTGTGCGCACGAAGAGTACAAGTGATAATGCTGCAGGATTTCATAATGTTATCCTTCTCAGCAGCAGCACTGCAGGTGCTCTCCATGTCCAAAATGTGCGTAGGCCAGGTCCTTATTCAACTTAAAGTTGCGCACACTTTTCCGCTAAGTTTTCTTTCATAAATCTCAAAGTTTGCGTGGAATGTTGCTTATGCAGTTTTCCGACCCCGTTTTGTGCGTAAACAAGCTTGATAAATGAGGCCCCTGATCTGTTAGAAAAAAAAAAACATTTTAAACTGTAATAAGTTATAAATATATTTTTCATTTGTTTTGTCAGCACTTAAAAAAAAGACAAATCGATAACTCCAACCAAATGCATTTTCCACACATTAACACAACTTTACTTTGTACTCAAGAGTGCAAGATTCCACTGGGCTCCTTAAAGCTGCTATGGCAAATTTGAGAAACAAATTAGCTTAAAATATTTTGCTCATGCTCATAGCAACATTTTAACCTATTTTATCTATGACTATATTGTGGAGATAAAAAAATTCTAAAAAAATTAATAAAGTGGTTCTTTTGCAGTTTTCTAAAAACCTGTGCCAATAACACGGTTCAAACCGAAAGCAACTATTGGCCCATCCGGTTGTCTGTCTCGCTGAACTGCCGCATTTCCCTGGGTTCTCTTTTCAATACACACCACATATTTAGCAACACAACACAACTATCAGAGAAGGAGAGAAAGCCGGCTGCTACCACACTTTAGGTCAAACTACCAGAGTCCCAAAAAGAAAAACATAGATGTTTGGACCTAGAAAACAGCGACTGGTGTTTATCGCCGTCTTGTTTCCTCTGGCAAAGCAGTTTTTCAGTTACAGCAGAAGCATCTGGATATTAAACCGGATTAAAATCTGCTAAATTATCTAAACGTGTTATCTAAAAGCTCCCTAATTGGGATGCTGCCCCCGCGACCCGGACCCGGATAAGCGGAGGAAGACGAAGACGAAGACGAAGACGACGAAGTTATCTAAAAGCTAGCTCACGTGCTGAGGGAACGCCACTGTGCAAAAGTGACTTCATGTGACTGTAACACCGGCAGTGAGGGTGCATGTTGGACGTCGAGTGGACGACCACTTCATAGCTTGGGGCCCAAAACTCTAAATGAGCACTTTGCTCTTGGAACAACTAGTAAGTGCACTGGATGGTTTATATTGGTTTATATTATACTGGGTGAGTAAGTCAGTCAAATAACTTGGAGCACAACCCTGCTCAGGTGTGATGTCTTCCCACTTTCTGATGCCGGTCAGGAATCTAGCAGCAGCGTTTTGTGCAAGCTGGAGTTGATCAAGTGCAGCCTTGCTAACTCCAGCATAATGGGAGTTGCAGTAGTCTAGGCAAGAAGCAATAAAAGCATGGACTTCGGTCTCCAGAGGAGCTTGTGACACTAGCGGCTTGATTCTGGATAAATGTTGAAGATGAAAAAAACAAGAACGCACCACTCCATTTATTTGAGTCTCTAGCTTTGGTGATGCATCCAACTTTACACCCAAATAAGTGACTAGCTCTTTTTTTAAATCAACGAAGAGAGGTCAACTTCCTTTTTAGAGGCATGGCTAATGCTTAGACCAAAAACTATTGCTTCTGTTTTACCCTCATTAAAACTTAAAAAGCTGGAGGCCATCCATGCTCTAACTTCATCTAAATCCAGTAGTGACTAAACTGTGGCTGTAGAGCCTTGTCTCAGGGGAAAATAGATTTGGCAATCATCTGCGTACAGGTGGAAACTGACCTTGTCCTTCTGTAAAATTGAATCAAGGGGCATCAAAACCAAGTTTGTTCACAGATTTGCTGAAACAGCTTTAAGAGATCACTTAGATGAAATGAATATGTTTTTGTTACCATGACAAAACAGTAAAATAATCATGATGGTTTTTTATGGCTAAAAAGTGAACATCTTGAGATCAAGTCAATATGATCCTGAAGCTCATGAGTTTTAAATGAGATTGGTAATACAGTTGCTGTCTGGACTTTAACCCTTTCAGGAATTATGTATGATTTTTCAGCTCTGTCTTGTCAAATGCACCACGTACGTTACGAAAAAAGTAACTGTAAACATCTTTAAAGTAACTTTAAAAACAGGCGAACTGAAGAAAACCTAGGGAGCACTGAAGAAACGTGAACAGTGAAGCAAGCTCAGAGATCCGCTACTGTGTGTGTGTGTGTGTGTGTGTGTGTGTGTGTGTGTGTGTGTGTGTGTGTGTGTGTGTGTGTGTGTGTGTGTGTGTGTGCGTGCTTGGATGGAGTCCCAGACGCGGACTGAGCTCCCGGTGCAGAGTTTTGTGTGTAGGGAGGGGCGGGCGCTCTATTTGAGTGGCCAATCACAGAGCGTGAAGATAGTCAGTTACCCAATGAGGATTTTCCTTCAGCACGATTACAGATATTTACGAGTTTTACTCGTTTCATGCTCATACTCATCAAAAATGCTTCATCCGTACCGGATACTCGTCTGAAACGAGACGAGTATCCGGCTTATCCCTAATTTTCTGCATCTTTTATGTCTCTAACCCCCAAATTCCACTACCTCCGCTCCGGTCCGCCCCCACCTTCCGCAGCCGCTCGCTTCCGAACTCAATTTTTACTGGTACCCGCTCTAAAACGGCTCCGCTCCAGTGTGGAGACCTGAGGTGGGCAAACAAGCATGCACAGGATTTTCGAGATCTTGCGATACAGTCCGAGCAATAAATGCGGAAGTTAGATCCAAACACCTGTTGTGTGGGAGAAGCATCGGCATGAACTGTTTAATCTGCCCATCATTTGTGTTGAGAGATCAGCAGTGTTTGGATCAACAAAGTGTGACTACTTTAATAGTAGAAACTGTATTTATGGCTTACTTTTGTGCATTTAAACTTCAGCCGCCATTGAAAGTTGTTAAAATTTTTGTTAAACCTGTGCATATGAAACAAAAAACACCTTTTGTTTATCAATTTATTGTGAAAAACGGAAGTTGTGTTTGCTCCTTTTCCTGTTGGGCGGTTGTGATTTCTGTCCATTTACTGCAGAGGTGCTCCGGCGTCCGGCGAAAATAGGATCGATTCCATTTTTGCCGGACGCCGGAAAAGAGGGCGGCGCACGGCGCCGCACTGCCGGAGCACAGCCTCAGTAGTGGAATTGCTCTGATTGACTACAACGGGACAGATTTTGCTCCGGCGTTCGTGTCGGAGCGGAGCGGAGGTAGTGGAATTTGGGGGTTAGCAGCATTTTAGTTGAGACTGATCACACATGGACTTACACTGGCTAAATAAACAAAAAAGTAAAGAACAAACAGATTAGTCCTTATGTTTTAAACAATTTACCAATAAAGGGTTGAAAACATAATACTGGCAAGTGTTGCGTAAAAAAAAAAAACAAAGGTTAATGCCATGACTGGGAGGTGAACCTGTGTAAAACTACATTCCAGTCATACACCATGACCACTACACCACTGACTGATAAAACATAAATGGTGCCTGATTCACATAGCCTTTGCCATCACGTGTCTGTAGACGGGATGCATTGTTTTTATGGCAGCGCTCCAGTAGAATTAATTTCAGAAGTATTTTCTCAGAATATCCACAGAATATCCAGGTTTCAGAATGGAGATAAGACTAGTTTAAGGGGGAGGAGAAATGCCTGGTAGTGGGCTACTTTCTCCCATTTGCAGGAAAAAGTGTTACATCGACCACATTTTAGTTGCAAGGCTGCCAACTCTCACGCACTGAGATTGAGACACACACATTTGACCCTCTTCACACGCTCTCATGCCACACCTCCAATCTCTCACGCTAAACCAGCACCTGCGCTCCCCAAACACGCATCACGCACAGTGGGCTTACAAAAAAAAAAAAAAAAAAAAAAAAAAAACATACAGCATTAGCTACTGAACAGCATGTACACAAACAACACTTAAGTAATACTTTAACTGGCGTTATTTCACACACAAAATCCCGTCTGTATAATCCAAGCCGATGGGGTTTTTTCCAATCTGGTTATGAGATGGGCGGAGCTGTGAGCTCCACCTGCTGTCGATGGGACGGGCATGCCCGGTTATTTCTCCTAGAACCGTGAGCTGCAGCTGCACACACTGTCAAAATGACATGCTTTATTTAGATATGCAGCCGCGTCGCGGTCGCCAGCTGATGTTGACGGAGCTTCAGTCCCAAAAGTTTTTCTTTTGTTTTCACTCATCAGCCACGGATCCTCACTCAAAGCAAGCTGGGCTTTCTACTGCGATGACTCACTCACATGTTCCCTCGCCTACATTAGTTGGTGACGCAGTGAATTAAAACATTAGGAATCCTAGTATTTTAATTCACCGCTTCACCAGTGTGTTTTTCCTGTTTGTAAGTCGAACCCCTCCTCCATAACCAGGTTACTGGTACGGAAGCCTGGAAAGGCAAAAATTCCTCAAACGTTTTTTTTTCCTACTGACTGTCTGATATGAATTAATATAATAGAATAGAGTAAATTTTATTAGTCCCACAGTGGGGACATTCACTAATTACAGCAGCACGTACACTTAGAGAAACAGATTACAGTAAAACTGATTCCTGCCATGTTTGCTTTGATAACTTCAATAACTTCATGCTAATGACCCACATGAACATAATCCTCTGTTTAGTGGATGCAATTACATCAATGACGTTAGCTTAAAATGATAGATTTTATTTTCTTGGAAGGAAATAATAACTGGTAATATTATGAATGGCATGATATTGCCCACCCCTAGATGGAATAAAAAAATACATTAATTATAATTAAAAGTTCCTGTGTGAAATTTGTGACATGTAGCTGTAACTCTTTACGACAGACAGACAGACAGATAGATAGATAGATAGATAGATAGATAGATAGATAGATAGATAGATAGATAGATAGATAGATAGATAGATAGATAGATAGATAATGTGAAGAAGTTCAGGAGAGTTGGATGTTAAATTTTCCTCACGAAAAGAAAATTTGTATTAAACAAAGGTCAGTTACCTCTGTAAAGTCAGAGGTACGGAACAGGATTAGGGCCACTGAAAAGAAAAAAAATAGAAAAGAAAGAGAATTCTGACTTCTATCCCTGAATTCCCTGTCAGAATTCCGAGATTGTCATTATTTTGCGAAAAAAAAGTCAGAATTCTGAGAAAAGTCTCAATATTAATCCCCCCCCCCATCCCCCCCCACCCCAACGGTCGGCAAATTGTCCGCTCCCAAGCCCATGACCCCGTCTCACTCTTTGAGATGTTCAAAAGTTGGCAGCCCTGTAGTTGAGTCAGGAAGATGAATGAATGCAGCCAAAAGTGGTTTGGGGGCATTTCTCATGAGGAAATGACAATATCACATGGTAAAAAAAAATCCTAAAAGTTGATTTTTCTTGATATGGAACATTAAATTAAACCAGTGTCAATTAATCTCTCTGTCCTCCTCAATCTTGTGTTTTAGGTGATATTAGTCATAGCGCCCCCTTCAGTTCTGGTACGTAAGTGTTGCATTTTCCAAATATGACATGAGTCTGACGACTGGTCCGACGCTGCCCCTTTCTGTGTGCTGCAGCCAGGTCCTTCTCAAATAATCAGGACAGCAACTTTAAAGGCACACTTGGCAGTTTTGGCTTGCTTTTGGCAGAGGTCTGAGTGACACTTTATTAAGTCTGTAAGGGTAATTTTAGCACGTACTGGCTCCAGAAAATGATTTAAAATATGAAAATGTTTCATAGAATGGCTTTAACATGTATTGATGGGGAAAAAATGCCAGAAATGACAGTGACTGCAGTGGCACTGCTGTGCATTTTGACATTTATAGATTTATACACACATTCAAAAGAAACATTGAGGATAATGAATACTTACCAACAATTTGCATAAAAAAACATAAAACGGTATGCTATTCTCTGCTGTCAAATCTGTTTGTTTGACATGACAGTGTCATTTGTGTTTACTATTGTGAATTATCATTTCAAACTTACATCCTTCCTGCAGCCTGCTCCAATCCAAAGACTAAAAATGTGTTCATATTTCATTAGAGCAATTTTTAAAGTGCTTAAGAGTGACCTAACTCACCTATTCCTTCTCCATCGTCCCAGAAAAATGAACCTTGAGCGGTCCCAGTGTCACTCAGGGCAACAAGGAGTCCTAAAGGATTCTTTCGACTGAAAGAGAAAGGACAGAGAGCTACTGCAGAGTGCCAAAGGACTCTCTCATTTATACCTGCTGCACAAAACAAATACATTATCATTTCAGCTGGGAGGATCTACCTGATCAAACCACTGCTGGCATAGTCCACATCGCTCTCTCTCAAACTCACTGCCACTTCATTTTCACATTGTCCTAATCGTATGTGACCTGTACATGCCTACGTGTAGGTCCAAAATGGCAATTTACCTACCATTATTATTATTATCCCAAAACAACACCTCAAAGCTTTTTCTTGGTGGTGTTATATGAAATGTTATTTCATGAATGTATTAATTTAAGATTGCACTAATGAAACAAGTCAGATATAACTAAGCAGTCTGCAATATGCGGATCCAGAAACTTCCATCCCACACTAACTTGGAATACAGTTCCCGGACTGAATTATTGTGCCAGTCCCCCCTGCCCAAAGTTATTGCAGTATTCACATAAATGTTTGGCATTTTTGTGTTTGAAGACAAAACCATCTGAATATCTAAAGACTGGAAATTAAAGCAATAACTGAGTGATAGGTGAGTGGTGTAGCTGCTTATGCACACGCAGTGTCCTTCAGTTCATAATGTGAAGATTATTTTTTCCCCTTGACATAAAATCACAATTAGTCAACAGTTTAATGAACTTTAAACCATATATTGTTTGGTCTCATGTCTTGTTAGAGGATTACCTGTAATACGTGGTGTTCTCTGGTTTCTGCCAAGGTAAAATATATCCTCCTCTAACATGAAGGTTAATGTGGTTCAGCGGTGTCTGCATCTTCATCATTTTGCCACGAACTCCAACATCCTTGGCCTGATGGGAAAAAAAAATGTAAGTACTACAGTGAATAAACCTACTTTTATTTTGAAATTTTTATCTTTGAATGTTTCCAAGTTTGTGGTTTGTGAAAAATTGAGTCTAGACTGAAAACAAATTTCACTTGTTAACAGTGACCAAAATTATTCATCTTACGATTCACAGTCCATCAATAATACATTATCCAAGACTAGCAGTTACTTACTGTGTGGTAGTCATACCAGCGTGCATTAGGAACATAACCTTCCACCTCAGTCACTCCCTTTTCATAAGAAAAAAAAAACACATTACACACACCCCAAAAAAAGTGAAACATCAACTAACAGTTTGAATCTGATGTGTTGAGAGGTAAATAAAAAGAAACATGTATAAATATGTGTGCATACTTTGTCTAGGGCAGGGGTGATAAGTAGAGCAGGTCCCCATAGGAACTGTTTGTAGATGTCCCATGTAGTTTTGTCATTCACAAACCTGTGACACACACACACACACACACACACACACACACACACACACACACACACACACACACACACACACACACACAAAAGCTATTAAGCCTGGCTGAAAAGCCATGTTGCTAAAACTCACTCATGCGTCCTTAGCTCTAATGAATTCCTCTACTAGAATTTGGTGGTTTGAAGATGCAAGCCAAAAATCTCTGCCAGATTCATCCCAGCAGCTTTTTAAACACCATCTGTGACTTTGCAGGAGTCTCTTCAAATGAATAAATACTTTTTTTCATACAATTTCACCCATTCTCATCTGGGAACAGCAATGTGCAGTGGTGGCCTTCTATATACTTGGCCTTCAGAAGGTTTTACCAAAAATAAAGGGCAGTGATAAAAATGAAACAGCAGGGTAGAATCTTCTGATGCGATGAGCTAAGATTTACTGAGGAATTTTGTGTGTGTGTGTGTGTTTGAGCTTACTCATGTAACAGTGGTCTGATGACTGTGCTTCCTTTAGTGTGAGCCTCAAACATTAGTGTGTACAGGTAAGGCAGGAGAGTGTATCGGATGTTCAGGACATCTCGAGACGCTGAAGCAAATGCATCATCCCAAGCAACAGGATCTTGTCTCTGATGAGAGAAATAAAATGCAAAGTTAGACTGCTTTTAACATTTTGTCCTCAATGAAATTCTTTCATGCATGAATTATGAAAAATTGCAATAAAGATTTTTTTACAGATTTTTTATTCATGCTCATGTATGAATGAAACACATTTCAACCTAATTTTTTTAACACTTATTTTTCTAAGAACTTCGTAAATGTATGTCCACTTCAGTGGACATGAAATATTGGCTTGACTCTCTAGAGTCAAATGTGAAGGCTCAAGTGCAACAGCATGCTTTCCACTGTAGTGACCACAATGCAATTTTTTTACTGTCACTGTAAAAAAAAATAATAATAATTTAAAAAACCATAGATTTAATGGTAAAATGCTGGCAGCTGGGGTTGATGGAATGGTACAGTAAAATTATGGGCCAAACTTATTTTACAGTAAAGAAGGTTTTTCTTTATTATTGTTTTTATGATTACAAATGGTGCTGAAGTCAGTATTTCCCTGTAGAAGAAATGTTTTTCTTGAAAAAAAAAGCATTGTTCTACTATCAAATGAACATAAAAATAATCTATAAAATAAAAATTGTGCCATTAAACTAAATTTTGTCCTTATAAAAACAAAATTCAAAGGATTTTCCTCATTACAGACAATCGATTGAAATAAATAACCAGTTAACTTCAATTAGGATATAAATGGTTATAGTGGCTTGGCCCACTTAAATGCTGTTCACGTCATTCAGCTGCACGTGTGTGTAAACTTGTAGCAGTCAAAAGCCTCGAGTCAATAATGACATCAGTATTGAACAGCAGCACGGCCTTGGAGACCATTCACGAGTCAGGTCAAGAACAGACACATCCCTCTGACTAACTGTTCAGCCAGATCTCACTTACGTGCTGCTAAGCACACTGGGAAACAGGAAGATAACTCTGTACACCATTACCAGCGATTAAAATAAATAAATGTAAAAATCATAGTGTTTTACTGTTGTAAACTTTAAGGAAAATCTCCATTAACTCATTCAATGTCACTGACGACAAACTTTGTCATTTTAAATTCAACCGTTCACTATTTGCATTTTTTACTGTGTAAGTGTTGGAATGAGCCCCGCATCATGAGAATAAACATCTCAGCTCTAAAACCGATCTTCATTTTGTTAGGAGATCGTTTTGGGTTGCTGCTGTAAAAAAAAAAGTGAGGCGTGAACAGGAAAAGCTTCTGCTGATCACACTTCGACAACGGATTATGAAAGAACGGATAATAATTAAAATGAGCAGATTCTTCCTGATGTAAGAGGTGAGTCTACTCTTTGTTTTGGTAGTCTTGGCGTCGACATCATCATAGAGCACAACCTTCTGTGACTCTTAAAAAACAGTGAAAACCCTGAAAAAAGCTGACAGCGAAGGGCTTTTCTGATCTGGAAACGGCTGTGTTGAGTCAAAAAACGATGCAAAAGTGCTTTACAGTAGAATTATGTATTTTTTACAGAGAAAACATTTACAAACTACAGTTTTCATCCTTTACGGGAACGTCATGTAAAATCAGCAGTTTTAAATGTTTTTATAGTTGACAGGATTTTTCCTGTCATGGTTTTACAGTTTATGCTAAATGACCTGTTTTTTAATAGTGCCTTCTTAGGGTTGCATAACCCCCCAAGGCACTTCACAACAAAATCAGTCATTCACCCATTCACACACACATTCACACGCTGGTGGGGATGAGCTACGATGTAGCCACAGCTTCCCTGGGGTGAACCGACAGAGGCGATCGAGGCCTGCCAAACAATGGCACCACCAGTCCCTCTGACAACCACCAGCAGGCAAGGTGAGTTAAGTGTCTTGTCCAAGGATTACTGTTAAGAACACAGCAATTTTTTACAGTGTAGTATTGTTGGTCTTGTGATTTTCCAAATGTATATAAAGGTATAACATGTACATGTAAATCTTTCTTCACAGCCTTTTGTAAGCATTGAAAGATTTAGGAAAAATTTCATTTATTTTTTAATCCTTCCTAATGCATTTGCTAAATTAGAATACACACACCTAATTTCAATTTTCTTAACATCGCCTTAAGATGGTAGGGCAGTACATCCTGTGATTTATTGTTAGAATTTTTTTTTTTTTTTTACATTTTATTAATAGGTTTTGGCTCGACAAGATTAATTTCAGGGACTTACAGCAAGGATAATGATCAGCCTGTTGAAGGACACACACAAAATCTTGAAGATTAAAAAAGTGAAGCATGTCTTGACCATATGTTTCTCTTCATGATTCGGTTCGTATCATAGTGTGTAGCATATGCGAGACGCCTAGTGATTTTAAGTGTAAATCTAAGGCAGCTTTGCTTCCTCCCATTTTCCACTTCAATCAATAATCATACAAAAAATAACATAAATAACATGAATGCAGAAAGAGAAGGCAGATATTTTTGTTTAGCTTTGGCTATAGTAGATCATGATTATTACCTGTAGCCCAGATAATTAACTGTTGTGCAGTGGTGACCTAACATATCTTAATACAGTACAATTTCCATTATCTCATCACCTAGGGAGTTTACCAGATTATCATTTAATTTTCTGAGAAGATTCACAGCCTTGTAAATATCTGGAGACCGGAATTCTATTTGCCTCAATTTTCAGAAACCTCCTTCAGCATCTTTAATGCTGTGAAAACAAATGTAATCACTGGAAAGTAATAGGTTGTGTGTGTGTGAGTCTGTAAATTAAAGATGGGGACTGTTAATGAATTTGGATAGAAAAGTGTGTACCAGTTATTAAAATGAAATTTGTAGCTAATAATATCCTGAAGCTTGTGTGAATGCAAAAAATTTATTTATAAGAAGATGTTGGCAAGCCATTACCTTAATGAATTAACCAAATATGGATGATAGGGGGCAGCTTGTGGTCAGATACGTGTCTGATGCTAGATTTGCTTTTGCTTCGGTTTTTGCTACTGCTCAATCGATGGTGACAATGGGTTATTTTGTCTACTGCAATTAAAGGACAAGACGTTTGAATGATTCATCACCAGAAATGTTCAGTTTTTTTGTTTTTGTAGTCATAGTGGTCAAGCAGCAAGAATAGTCAATGTGGTTAGCAAAATATGAGCTGCAAGCATCTATCTGCTAGGGAGCTAAGCCACCCTAGCAGATAGGTGACCAAAAAGTTGTATAAGCCAAAAACAGACACAGATGATATAAACAAGTAAATATTTCTGCCTTTTGAATAGCAAACTAAATGCTTTAAGGGCAGAGTGATGCTTGAGGTCACCGTTTCTTCTTTAACTCCTGTTATTTGCAAGGGAACATATGCAGTCCAAA